GTCGCCATGGCTAGTGGGCGAAGCGTCATCGCGAGCAAGTGCCGCTTTCCTCTTGTATTTTTGAGCTGCAGTATTCATGCATACACCCGAGTAGGCAGGACACCATGTTTAAAAAGGCGCTTGAACATCAGTGAAGGCAGGGCGGGGCGTGCCTTCAAAAAACAAACAGAATATAACGAGCAATGAAAAAGTTTTTTACTGAAAGGCGCACCAGTTTACTTTTGTATATTTTGAACACCTGAAGCTGAGAAAGCGAGGAAAATGTAAAAAATCCAATACCTTGGTCTTGATTTAGAAAGTAGCGCCCTCAGCAGGCTGGGGCAACTTCATATTCTCCTTGGCGCACATCATGTTCTTTCGGATATCCTCCAACACAGACTTGATCATAAAGCTTCCGTTCCATGAGCGTAGAGTACTAAGATTTCTCTTGTCAATCTGAAATCACATAAGCATGAGTCATCGTCGTAATATCAACATAGAACCATGTAATGTTAATAAGATATAAAAATCTATGGAATTACCACTCCAGTTGTTTGATTTACTCCATTCATATGAATCTTCGTGGTGAAACGGACACTTGGAGCTTCTTTTGGGTAATTAGGCCCACATTCCACATGCAAATTATAAATGCGAGACTCATATGGTGTCTGGAAAATGCGCAGTCCTCATTAAAAAACCACTGAATCAATAATGCGATAAGGTATCAACATACCCTAGGCGGTCCAATAATGGTACCCGTCCACCTAGTCAAAGTCATATCGGTATCATCTTCTAAACCCCATGAGATGTTGCCATCTCCCTTTCCTTTCTGGCCGTCTTCCAGCTCTTCGAGAAGGCGAAAATTTCTCGGCACATCGACTAAAAGTTATAGACGCTTGAACAACAGTCAGAAACAGTTCGTAAGAAAGCACTAGCGCAACTTTTCTAGGCTTGAATTTCAAGCTAACCCAAGTGACGTCAAATTTGCCTTAGTTTCCACTACAAAAGAGAAAGTGTAAGACTTACCCATCTTGTCGAAGTTGTGATTCAATATATACCCTGAAAAGATGTCTTTGATAGCAGAAATGATTAAGAAGTAATCTACGAAGAGATAAAAAAGCAACTGTTAACAGATAGGATTGGAGTTACGACAATGGAATAAGAGGAGATCCATAGAAACCACAACGCCTCGGAATCTTGAAACCTGTGAAAAGAAAAGCAATTGATTTACGCGAGCGCCGGTTGCCGTCGGCTGCGACGCGGTTCCGCACGCATTCGCTTCGATTAGCCGTGGAGCATGGAAACCTCATGGCAAACTGAACTGTCCTATCACTTGAAACCGGTTACCGTTACTGTGTTGTACAGCCATCTTGTACAGGTCCGTGAACCTGCACGGGAGCCACTCATTATCTGTTTGTAAACTTGCCTTCACGAGACTTGTGACATTGCTTAGAATTACCGCATTTTCATCCGTTCATAGTTTTCGCAAATTTTTAAATGCCTTTTCTTTGCTGTTTGCTTCAGTGCCTTCGAAGTCAAAACTGTTGCTCCTTGTGCATTTCGCTTCTCGTTGCCTGGCCTCCTTTGCGCGGTGGTGTTTTAGAGTTTGTAAGTGGGTCAAGTAAATCTGCTTATTGAAGATTGTGATTGTGCTGCCAGCGCTGGTTGCGACGTATGGGGGCATTCGGTGGGAGACATCGCAAACCAGCTGCCGAATTACCGTCTTTTTTACAGCGGCGTCAGGAAAGGCTTCTTGCTTCAGCCTGGAGAAGGAGCTTCTGGGGAGATGAAATAATTCATTTATTATGGGACTTCTTCTTTCTTACTCTTGGGCAATCCTTAATCCCGTGTCTCACACCATACGTTGTTCCGTTGCGATTTCCACGCGCTAAACCATATGGTTATTGATAAACCAGAAAAAAGCGAGGAGCGACGTGGAAAATGAAGGCGGTGAGGCTCAAAAATGCCCTTGTGCAAAGACACGGAGTGCGTAATGCCGGCGTAATCGTGGCACTAGTAAGATGCCCCATTATAGAGTTCGAACGATCAGAGCCTACGCTAGTAGCGTTTGTTTTTTTCGGCGCTAAATGGGTTGTTGTTGGGGGGGGGGCGTCGGGGGGACAGAATGTCATCGCTGTAGTTGCCTCCGTCTCATTGTCATAAAGCGGAAGTTAGGCTTTACTAAATGAGACTGTCTTTTCTGCAGCTCGGCGACTGAGCCGTATTTATTATTTTCTAAAACTCAGCGCCCATGAAACCTTAGGGGCGTAATCCCATTGAAAGGGGGAGTTGCTCATTGCTGTCAATAGGCGGGGCAACCCTTGTGCAGGACCCATGTAACATTCCTTGTACAGCTACAACAATATGATTTTCTCGTTTCATTTCCATGCCATTCCTTGTTTGCTTCGTCTTGTGATGAACAAAATTTGGTGCTTGGAGCATAAAGAGACTATTCAGAATCGATGGTTCCCTGAGGCTTCATTGTGTTTAATCTTGTGTAGTGAGTAGAATGACGCTCTGGTCTCTTCCATTGAATACTTTTATTATATGAAACGTTTTCGGGCGATAAGCCCTTCTTCAGGTCACTCGATCTTAAATCAAACAGCTACCCTTACAACGTTACAGCATCAATCAAGTAAACCTAGCAATAACTCACACTGTGTAGAATGGGGAAGGAGTACAGAACTCCGATAGCCCTCACTACGTAGCAGTACCAGCAGAAATGAAAGTGGATTAAGTGACCGATAGAAAATTAAACTCAAAACTAAAGTCACTTCCCTAAACTCAAATAATTAATTCCTCTGTATCCTACCAACTATAAAACCAAAAACTGAATGAGGATATTGTTATTATAAGCTGCGCGTGACAAGGGACCCAAGAGGTGAATCTCGAAATATGAGTCTCACCTATCTGTTCTCTTATTCTGACACTTTATTGTATGAAGCTTGAATATACATGATATATCTCAATTCGCCAAAATCATCTCCATCCCTCTCTTCATATAGCATCACCTAAGTATTGATTTGGTGGTTACCTCTCTGCATCACCCTTTTCAAGCTTTATTTAATTAGTGTCTAGTTACCCCCTTCGAATATCATAATTCTATTCATATAACTATACAGAGTTCTGTGTAGATGATGACTGTCGACGAGTTCCGCGCGGCCTTCTTCTTAATTGGTGTATTACGGCGCTTGTGGCGTGCCTTAGTGTGCGGTGTTTCGAGAATGGGTTTTCCGGGTAGCTCTGTGGGCTCCGCAAAGCTCTTAGGTGTTCCTCCATTCTCTTGTGAAGTGGCCTCGATGTTTCTCCAATGTAAAACTCGTGACATGAGAGGCACACAATTTTGTACACCGCACACTTTTTCTTGACACACCTTATGTTCTCCACAAATCCCACAGTTAGCTCTTTCACAACGACTCTCATATGGACGTGATGATGTTAAAAGTCGTCGTAAGTTAGGAGGTGGTCGAAATGCCAGGCTTATGGGGAGCCTTGATCGTTGTTTTACGACGCGATTAACATCAACAGCGAACGAGTCACTGATGAAAGGTAACACGAGTGGAGTGCCATAAGGTGATCGGTAAGGCCTCCAGCATCGAAGTTGCCCATTTCTATATCCGTTTTGCCCACAAGATGTTGTGTTTCCATCGAATGGAATCTTCTCGCAAGTCTGTGATAGAAGATAAGTGGGGGTGAATTATACTCACGTTCGCGGAGGCCCTACCCAAAAAGAGAAAGTTTTTCCTTAACATTAGGCTTTTGCCTGAGGTAACCCGGATGAGGCTATTGAGAAACAGCCTTCGACTTGGAACGGTACCTATAATCCACGCACAAGATGCCTCCTGAGTCGTTCTTTAAACATCGTCACCTATGGTGCTCCTGCAGAACCAAAAAATCCGCCAGTACCACCCATATATTAGCACAGTCAATTTCCTCTACTTTGATCACTATTTCAGGACGGCCCCACCCCGCAAGAGCCCACGTGTGGGCCCCAACCCAGTCCTCGCACATAGCCACTGAACTTGGGGCGCACCGTGATACCAAGACACCACCTCGACTATTTGAGAACTCTCAGTGACACGCAACTGCTCTCGGCATGCTGTGGTAAAGGCCAGTTTTGAGTGGTGCACGCCGCCTAGTGTGATCAAAGTGCTGTCCAATGTACCCATACCTGTGATAGAATCTAGTGAACAGGTGAGAAACCCTTTTAATTGTTACTCTTGAACTTGATTAAAGATTGGCATTAACATAGTTCGATGGAAGGGAGCGGAGGGGGGGGGGGGGAAAGGAGGCTCCAGCGCGCTGATGTTCACTGTAGCGTAACTTTTGCTTAAACGCTCAACCTAACTCACATTCGAGAGCTATAACACCGTCCCGTTTCACCAGTTGCCGCTAAATCAATAATGATATGGGCAGCTTAAGTCACCCAACACAATATCACTGCTACAAACACACTAAAAAACCGCCTCGAAAAATTCCGGAATGAAGGCTTGTTCAGTGCCTTCAAGAGCCTCTCTCTACCTAGTGCGCCCTGAAGTTCTTGGAACTCTTCAGGAGTTTCTTATATACCCTTGGGCTATTTGCGAAAAAATGTCCAGTGGGTCGGGTGTATTCTTTGCGACTCTCAAGAGTAGGAAGAATAGGAGAATGCACGCCACAAAATCAGGATTCTTCTCCTCCGGTTCTCGTAGTCTTCCAACTTCCCAAGCAACGGAATCGATCTACACAAATACCTTTTATCCCGCTGTTCTCTTTCTCCAGTAACTTGAAACTGGTTGCTATTTATAGCAGCATTTGTGGCACTAATACGTACTGCTCCTGGCAAGCAGAAAGTGTCGCTGTAATGTGGCTGAGGCCAAATCGTCCGTTCACAGAACTAGCATTCTGATTAAGTAAAGATGCGCATGCGGCAATGCCCAGTGGAGTTGGATTCGACTAATACTTGAAAATTATCTCTTTTCATTGACGAGCTGTCATGTTGCGAGTACATTCTGCGTTGTGGTTGGCGGCATCCTGGTGTCAATCCTGTGGAGTACATATTATTCCGAATGGGCACGTATGCTGTTAAGCCTAGAATTACGCGTATAGCGGGAGAGACGGAGCAGGTATCGTGGAAGAGGTGAGTGGTTTTGTAATGGGTTTGCAACATGTGTCGTTCATATAGGAGAGCCAAAAGGGGTGTCCTGGCTGCGTATTCCTGGACCGATTCCTTTCTCTTGCGTTCATACTTCGCGAATCAGTCGCTCTGATCGCACGCAGAGCGATGTGAAGTGTGGATGTGGATGTGCTATTATTGGAGGTGTGGATGTGCTATTACTTCGTTAGATATGCGCGTTTACATATCTACGGTTTGATGGGAGTTTATAAATGCAAGCCAAAGTGCTAATCAACATGAATATTTTGTTTTGTAGACGAGCTCTTTTGAAAATAATTTTACTCAGGTCGGTGCTGATGTTCGCAATGTCAAAGAAGGTGACCGTGTCTACTTCGCCTGGTCTATTACGGGCAGTGCAGCCGAGTATTGCCTTGTAGATAGGGTATTCCCTTTGCCATCTGGTAATGAGAAAAACCTACTCTTATGTGGCATGGAAGTAAAAATCTGCTGACTACTGTTTCTTTCGAAAATTATGAGATTTAGCTCTTTAGGTATTTCCTTCCAAGAAGGTGCATGCATTGGAATCCCATATGGCACAGCTTACAGGGCTCTTTTTCTGTATGGGGAAGTTCAGGTGAGTACATATCAGGGAGCTTTGCGTTCGAGAAATAGATATAGTCTTATTCGCTGCGGGATATTGGGGCGTGTCATTGAGGTTGTTTTGGTAAGCCGCCAGCCCGTTCTCCATCAGTTGTGGAGGGGGCGAGGGTAAGCGAGAACATTCGCCATTTGGCGCTGGCGTCGTGCCAAGTCCATCCGCTTGATACGTTACATCATCTGCGGCAAACAAGACTGTACATGCAGAAGCAGTCGCTACCGGAAGACTAGGAAAATGCAATGCGTTTCTACCTCTGACCATATCCTTCAGAAAGGGCAGCGAGTACTAGTGCATGGCGCCTCTGGAGGAGTGGGAATAGCAGCGGTGCAGATGGCTGCCAATCACGGAGCTGCTGTTGTGGGTACAGCCGGTACAGACGAGGGCATGGATCTGGTCAAGCGTAATGGTGCCAGCGATGTGTTCAATCATAAGTCCAGAGGATATGTGAAGGAGATGATGGAGAAATATCCAGAAGGTGAGCGGTTTTAGTGTTGAAATAAGGAAAAGCCAGGTAACGGTTTTAACCCCCCCCCCCCTGCGGGCCTTAGCCAAATTACTCATTCCTGGTTGTTAGCAGCACTTGTTAGCAGCTTCCTGCACTGACCAAGAATATCGTTCAACATGCAAAAAATTAGAAGAAATGGCCTAGAAATGAAGTTCGTAACGTTTTGCAGCTTTGTAGGAGTGAATTTCCCGATTGTTCCTGATTTTCTCATTTTCCATTTCCTTATTGTTTTATCATGACGCCATTAGCGATGTTGCTAATGGCGTCATGTGCACGATATTCGCAAGGGAACTAAACGATTTAACGCGGAACTGCTGCAGTCAGTCAACTAGCTAAGAAGAACTAGCTATTTTGGGTGATTCGCAGCATCCTGATAGGCGCCCTTTTTCCACCAATGATGCAGTTCTGAGCGCGAAACAGCTGATGGAAAATTTGGTCTGGCTGCTTTCCTAGCCACGCCCCGGTCACACGCCCTATCCTGTGGGGGCATTTTGTATTTATTATCATCGCTTCCCTAGTTCCGGATTACAAATCTCACTCTGGTAAACTTGTGAACTCTTGTGAAGCTGAAGTAAGATCGTCTAGCCACTATCCTAAAACGTGTCAACTCGAGAAACGGCTGCCTAGATGGGTCGACACATCTATGGAAAGCAAAATGCCCCCCCCCCCGTCGACAAACTGCCCCGGTGGCTACTTTGGAATACAATCTTTCGTGATTTGTGTGTTCTGTTGTGGCAACTGCTGTTTAATGCCACAGTTCGCGCTGCGAAGTCATCACAAGAATGCTGAGTTATGGGCAAAAATGTTGACTCCTGTTGGGATTCGAACTCGCATCTCATGGTTCACTCTTGATGTATAGCATACTCGCCCTGAAAAGATGAGGTGGGGCTCGAGTCCCATACGGAGTCGAAAATTTGACCACAACTGAGCATTTTTTAGATGTTTCTTGTTTATTACTACGATAGAAATGTCGGATGAGGATCTTGCCGGAGATCCGCATCACGGCAGAGCGCAGAAACTGTCGAAATATTTTCTAGTTGATTGACATACACAGCTATTCCACTTTACTTTAAACGAGTTTCTTTATACGTTCAAAGTGCCTGACTCAGCTTTTTAGGTTTCGACTTGATTGTCGAAATGGCTGCCCATCTCAACTTGAAGCACGATTTGGATATGCTCGCTCGTAATGGAAAAGTTGCAGTTGTGGGAAGCCGCGGTGAAACCAAAATTGATCCGAGGGCACTCATGGGCAGAGAGACTTCTGTATTCGGTACAGGATACTAATTATGGACTTCAGCCTCTTCATTCTTAGAAGAAGTCATCTAGTGAACTCAGATACGAGCGATTTTCAGGGTTATCGTTAGCGAGCTCCACATCGTCTGATTGGAAAGAATCATCGTCGCACATTTACAAACTTCTGAGTTCTACTCGCTATCGACCGGTCATTGAACATGTCTATCCATTGGAGGACATCTCTACAGCTCACAAGGATGTCATGGCTGCCAGGGGATCACGGGGGAAACTCATACTGTCTATTAATGACAATTTGTGATTTGTATACGTAACAGAATATTTATCAAAATGGTTGTGATGGCTACTTATATGAATGGTTAAATATCTGAAGAGACTTTGCAAGTTTTGGCTTTGTTTCAAATATTGATTCCTGCAGTGGAGGTGATATAGTGGTTAGTGGTCTGCTTACACACCTTGACTGGTGGGGGTCGAATTTAGCATGGCTCCCGCACAAGGAAGTTAATTTTATATTAGACGGTAACCGTAAGCCAAAGCGGCGCCCTTTAAATTATAATTCTGTCGTAGGCGCGTTGAACACATCAGCACGGACGCTGAAACTACGCCTGTGATTTTCTTTTTCCGGGTGGGAGAGAACGGATGTGTGTTCGGATATTATTGTGAGGATTTCGATGTGGAGATAGGTATCTATCTATTATTACATTGCTCATGGGGAGAATTCTGACGTGTGCTATCACGCTTGAATGCTAAAATGGAGGATAGAGACGGCTTTCCAAGTTCGCTGTAGTATACAATAAATTGAGGAGGTACTACGGTCGACTTATTAGCCTCATCGCCTCGAAAGGTGGAATAGGTGGTAATTGCATTGGTCGCGTTCACATTACAACATTTCAATCTGGGAATTAATTTTTTTTTCTCCCAAAACCTAGTTACTATACAAATTGTGCAATCATCTTCTGAAGTAGAACAAACATTACTGTGGAATTAGGGAGCCAATGTTGAGAGGGGAACTGCTTGGGCACAGTTCCTCTGTAACACCGCCAAGATATGACGGTAAATTATGTTAAAAACTTGCCATCAGAAAAGTTGTCTACAAGAGTATATTTGGTACTGCCAGTCCGATCCTGACCCTGAAGTTTCTTGTCAGCACTAATAACCAAGTTGTGTTTATACTCGTGACCCAGGATTACCTCTGCAATCTAACAACCAGTCTGTAGCGAGCTGAGTCCGAACTATAGTCGCACCAGAACTGAGTACGAACTGTATTACTAAACTGGCGCCAAATGAACGTCACAAAAATGTCAGCTCAATGATCAGGTCATTGACGTGACATTTTTTGTGACTTCCTACATACGTTTAGTTGTGATAGTGGCGTCTTTCGCCTTTGCAGTCTCTACGCGTGCGGTGAAATTTCATGAAATAAGTTGGGAAAGCACTTGTAAAAGAATTTTTTTTCTGGTCTGGATTATGTTAATCCGGCTCATTATATTCATGTAAATATTCTCCCAACTGACAAGGTAGCTAGAAAGAAGTGTTGTGCGTGTTACCGATTCTCTTACGTTGCCGTTGCGCACATGCGGAACCTCTATGTCGAGACGAAAGAATTCATAAGTGAAATAAGCACGAAATTCCCGTCCATCTTCCAACACTTCAGTATATGCAAGCATTTCCGCACAGTTCCCGTTGTGGTATCGACGTAAAGTTCGGTGTTATACGTACGTCCACTGCGGAGTTACAGTGAACTGGGCGCCGCTTTGGGTTACGGCACCGTGGCGGTAATACTGAATTTAGCTTCTTGTGGCTCCCGCTCAGGTAACTAAGCCTGCTGCTGAACGGTGACGATAATTAGGAACCAGATCCTTTTGGAGGATAAGAAGACGACGTTCACATCGGCCAACTTCCGCAAGTCGTTGTGTAGGGAGCTTGCCTTAATTATGTATACCTCACTATACCACAACTCTGAACAAAAATAGGATGGGTATAGCACCCAAAAAAAGGGAATAGGGCAAAGGCTTTGGCCGTCTATCAATTCCTTGATGAGAGTTGACTCACCAGTGATGAAAATCGGTCGATACCATGGAATGCTCCTAAGATAAGGTGGATAGTGATAGGAGTGGAGACCTCAGAGCGAGGACCCTTGCGCCTGTGAGAGATCAGACGCGTAAGGATGCGAGCAAAGGGAAAGGAAAGCGAGAGAGAGATGGCCTCAACAAAACCAGCGTTTCCCACCTATGTTGTGGATATAAGTATCGCTGATCGTATTTTTTTTTTTTTTTTTTTTTTTTTTTTTTTTTTTTTTTTTTATACAGCGCCCCTCCTCGCATCCAAATGATGAGGCACCTTCTGAGGGTAGCGCTTCTGGTCTTGACAGCAGCAACGCCCCTCGTCGAGAAGCGAAACTGGTACAGTTGGTATTATCGCAACCAGTCGAATTAGTTTCAAGAGGCATGGACTGACTCCACCTGCGGCGCTTCCACCATTAGGTTGTTTTTTTTTCTTAATCTGATGACTAGTGATAATTACTGGTAGAATAGGCAGTTAGAGGCGAGCTCTCCTCGCTTCCTCAGATGCCTGAGACGGCGATTGCGATGCAAACTATACATTTGACAGTGAGACACGGACGGGACAACTATCATAAGGGAGGTAATCAACTCAACAGGTAATAGCTGAATGTGAGGCTCAAATGACGCTCGTATTGCATGAATACTGCTGTTTAACGCCGCAGTACGCGTTGCGAAAGTTATCACAAGAATGCTGAGTTGTGGGCAAAAGTCGTGCCCCAGGAGTCGAACCCGCACCTCACGCTTTCCGGGCGAGTGCGCTATCCGTTACGCCACCAGGGCCGCTTTTACCCTCTCAGCTTAACGGCTTTTATGCCGTAGCCTATCAGCACTCACACGTTTAACTTGGTGAGCCGGTCAGCCGTAATCGGTAAGGCGTTAAGGCTGAGAGGGTAGAGGAGGCCTGTGGCGTAACGGATAGCGCCGGCTCGCCCGCAAGCGTGAGGTGCGGGTTCGACTCCCGCCTGGGGCACGACTTTTGCCCACAACTCAGCATTCTTGTGATAACTTTCGCACGCGTACTGCGGCGTAAAACAGCAGTTATAAACAAACAGCTTCAAAAACATCTAAAGCCTTCGGCCTTGCGGTTTCATGCCGATATCCCATCGATTACGGCTGACCGGCTCACCAAGTTAAACGTGTGAGTGCTGATAGGCTACGGCATAAAAGCCGTTAAGCTGAGAGGGTAAGAGCGGCCCTGGTGGCGGTATACGGTAGCGCCCGATGCCGCGAGCGTGAGGTGCGGGTTCGCTGCCGCTGGGGCACGACTTTTGCACAACTCAGCCTTCTTGAGGTGATAACTTTCGGTATTGCTTTCACATGCTCTATGAGGATTCAACACACTGAAGAACGCCATCTTTACCCGCCTATTTCTGAGGTATAAGGCGCATCCCGCAGGGTAACGTGGCGGCAGGCGCGCCGCCGGGGAAAATCTGGTAAACAGTGGCAGTTTTTCCGTCATTTTTGTGCCTCAGTTTAGATCTTCAGTTGTTTTTTTTGAAACGCCAGGCCAAGATGAATACATAGATCAACGATATTACACGAGAAAAAATCATGGAATGCGGATGAAACTCCGCGGCTTTTGAAGCTAGTGCCTTAAAAGCAAGGGGAGGCTCTTATAGTCCGAAAATAGGGTAGTTTAGGGATGTGAGAGTGCCAGCGTGCTACACCACAGCCGCCTTACACTGTTACATCGGATAGGAGTGTAAGACGGCGAAGTGGCAGCAAGTGGTTCCGTTCACAAAGTGGTCCGCCGCGGAAGCTCCGATGCGGGGAAACCATTTGGCATATTCTCAAGACCAGATTGATTGGGGCCTTCCTTCCCCTCATTTTCCTTCACCAAGAAACATACATCTGATATTCATCATAAAAACAAAACAATCTGAAATTTAACAATATGGTACAGGACTAGATAGTACAGGAAAGCAGCGTCTATGACGCAATTCAACGATATCTTATTCAGTACGCTTCAATAGCTTCAGCTAACGTGCGAATATCTTGTACTACAGGCAATTTCTCCTTTTGAGGATGTATTTCCAATGTTAATACCAGGTCTAAACGTTGAAAACTCTGCATGACCTAAAAAAGGAGAAATATTCACTTAAGAGTTTGTAAAAGCTGTATCCAATGAAGGAAATTTTGGTTAGATGTTCGCTCACCTCCAATGCCCTTTCCTTGCATCGAGAAAGCTCACGTGTATTTTTCATTAGATTCAACTTCTAAAAGAGGGATTATACAATTCGTGGTTCTCAATAACTTGCTGAATAGGAAGTCAGAAAAAACCCCAGCAATTGTTGAAGCTGCTTTAATGGCCATACATGCAGTCTATATGGTGGAGTAAGTTGGAGTGAGAGTGGTCAAAAGGGCACGTCGTAGGTTCGGCATCCCCAGCGAGGCGGGTCGTATTTGCTATTCAGAGAAGTGTATTCTTTTGTTCACTTTTCTCGGTTTTTTCCGTCTCAAGTACGCTATGTACCTTCTTCCACCATCTCCCTCCCCTGCTCGACGGCAGCTTTTTTGAGAGGATGTCACATTTTACCAAAATTTGCCCGATGGCAGGACGTGTCCTGATAGTCACGGACTTGGTGGTAAGAGCAGG